TGTATTAATAAAAGTATTATTTTAACACTTACATATGTTGAATATCGACATAACACAAAATGTTGAGATAACATAAACACCATATATTAAATTAACAAACGCGGCTATGTTAAAATTTTAGCGCAAAAATTTTAACAATGACCAGTTTTAACACAAATATAAAAGGTTTGTTACTGCATAGAGATGTTGAAATTTTTCACCTCATATTGAGCAAAGCTTCTATTCATTTTTCCGTATACTTTCACCGTATAAATGATTTGTAANTGTTGAATATCGACATAACACAAAATGTTGAGATAACATAAACACCATATATTAAATTAACAAACGCGGCTATGTTAAAATTTTAGCGCAAAAATTTTAACAATGACCAGTTTTAACACAAATATAAAAGGTTTGTTACTGCATAGAGATGTTGAAATTTTTCACCTCATATTGAGCAAAGCTTCTATTCATTTTTCCGTATACTTTCACCGTATAAATGATTTGTAATTTTATGCAGCCACACCTAAAAAATATATACTACTTTCAAATAAATATTGTTTCAAGTAGTTCATAAATTTATACATTCGCAAATATATGTTTATATCATTTTATCATGAGCAGTACATTTTTATTCAAGATACATCTTGAATCCTAATAAGAGAGAGTTTAATATTTTATAATCAAGAATATGAAAATAAAAGAAACTTCAGTTTATATGTGTGTGTGTGTGTGTGTGTGTGTGTGCTTATCCAAAAAGTAAGCGAATTTAAAACATCTTCGGTGAAGTTTATAACATTCTTGAAAAGAATCAGTTTTGAGAATTAGTTTTTCTTTTAAATATACGATAATGAACCTTTCTAGCATCTATGATGAGTATATCGATTTTACGACTATAATAAAAAAATATAGTCTTTGTCGAAGATAATTATTACTTAAAGGAAGGAAGGTAAACTATATCGTAATCGCTTTTCTTAGCAGTAGAATGATATTTTCCTTCGTGCGATACAACGTTAAAATATGCAGAAAAAAAAATCGATATTTCGCCGGCAGTTTTCAGATATATGACATCCCCCTTAAAAATCCATTACCAGATTCGCGCGATCTCCCAGGTATAAACGTCCCGTCCCTCGAACAGTGTGTCCGCTTCATCCTACTAATACCGTTATGCAAACGGTGTAATTATCCTTTTTGTTCTTACCTTGACTGTCTGTCCTGCCTTGAGGAGTGGCTTGTCGGGATCGGGCACGTAGTCCAACGTGATCCCGTAGAATTGGCCCTTGTTGATGTACGTTATTCTGTCGTCCTCGCGTCGCTGCGACGTGCTGATTGGCGACTCCAGGTGGTACTTAAATCCGTAGGGCGAGAAACTAAGAGACGACAGACGAGATTCCCCAAATGAAGCGTGGATTATACGGCCGCATGTGCGCGCGCAAAAACATGCTTGTTTAAAGCCGCCGTTTTTCTCGTTCATTATGCGCCGGTCGCGCTTGATCACGCAGGCGTGTCCATTTGACTCACGCGATTATGAGCTCGCAAACGAATCAGCTCGATCAGCTGATTAAAGTGCTACTGTAATTACCGATCGATTATCCATCGACACCCGCAATTGCAGCTCTCCGCGTGAAGACAGTCACACGTTCATATGGTGAACCGCGTAAAAAGTAAGCGGGCGCGCGCGAACCAAGTATAACCATGGCGAGACATTCGTTAATTAAAACGTCTTTCGTAGGAGGAGAAGGAGAAGGCAAACACTATGGAGCATAAATATTCAAATGGCTAATCACGAGCGATAACGAAGGGATCGTGTGCGAAGGAAACTGGTAATACGGCGCGTAAAAAAGCGCAGGAGCGTCGACGTGGAAAAAAGGAAGGCGGACATACCGAGACTCGCGTCAGGGAAAATCACGGAAAACGTTTGCTGATTAGAACATCGGCGGAGGCAGACGCGTACATGGTCAAATATGAATATCGAGTGGCTAGTCGCGAGCGATAACGAAAGAGTCGTGTGCCTGGAATCCGGGGAAGCCGGAGACGCGCCGGGAGCGTCGAAGTGAAAAAGGAACGACGCCGACGGACATATCGGGACTCGCATCAACCTCCTTGCCCAGGGAAAATCGCGCTTCTAATCGAGCTTATCTCCGCCTCGGCTTCGGCTAAAGCCGGCCAGGCAGGCAGGCGATACCTCATGAAAAATGAACTCCCATAACCTGTGACAGGGAGAGGAGAGAGAAAGAGACGGCGATGTAACGCGGGGGCAAAACGACGCGCAAGTCGCGCCGGGGAAACGGGAGCAAAACGATCGGTCGCCGCGATCGAGGAAAATCGCTAATCGCATTCCGTCCCGCAGCCGGTCTGCCTGCTGCTCCGGTCGGTCGCTCGGTCTGCTACTGTCGGCGAACTTTCCGCGCGATATTATCGCGTCGCCGCGAGAGAACGCCCTATTATCTCTATCTGAGCGCGCGTTACGGCGGCCGACGCTTCGTATTCGCGACGTGATACCCCACGCGTGTATACTTCGTTTTCCCTTCTTTTTTTTCCCCCCTTTGCGTCTTCCTTTGCTTTTTCCCTTTTCTTCTTCAGCCAGACGGACAGAGAGAGAGAGAGAGAGAGAGAGGGCGACGGTGTGCGTGGCGAGCGAGGCGATAACTGACCGTGGCGGGTGAACGCCCTCCTGTGCGCCTCTGCTGCTCGCTCCCGTTGCACAGCCGCCGCCTACCCGGTGTATACCTTGTTACGACTCCCCGTGTGGGTTACGCGCGACTACCGCGGCTCCGATGGTCTCAAGAGAGAGTCCTCTCTCTCTCTCTCTCTCTCTCTCTTCCTTCCTCTTCATCTTCCTCTCCATCTTTCTTCCTGTCCGTCTGTCTTTGCCGCCGCTCCCTCCGCAAACGTACGCGAAAAAGTACGGTCGCGAGTCGAGGTGTGTGAGAGAGAACAAGAGAGAAAGAAGAAGAGGGGGAGAGAGAGAGAGCGGCTACACCCTTTCTGACATTTCGATTTCACGCGGCGAGTCGGCGGACGCGCGTGCGATTTTTCAGCCCAGGCGCGATCCCGAGGCGCTTGTCCGCTTCTGACCGGACGAGAGAGCCGGCCGCGACTTAATAACTTTAACATCATTGTTCATTCCGCGCTGGTGAGTTCGCGAGGAGGCGAGCGGGAGAGATTTTCAGCGCCGCTGATCGCACGGTCGGTCTAATAATGGGAGTAACAAATTACAAAAGGCGGATGAAGCGCGACGGGGCGCGGGAAGATCGCCAAGGAGGATGGATGCGAGAGAGGTGGAGAGAAAGAGAGTACAAAGGGGGAGGCAAAGGACTGAACGAGGACGACGGGAGGATGTGAAGAAACGCGGAGGAAATGAAGGGAACGCGAAAGACTAAGGGGTACAGGAAGTACTTGTTGTAACATAAGTCCAGTGCGGAGATATTAGTTTCGCGAAATGGAAGTGGCAACGTCACGAGTCCATTTGCAGGGACATCGTTCCCAGAAGAAATCTGAGAGCGTTGACACGGGAAGTAAATAGTACGACTGCGTACGCATACATGGATATTTTCAACTTCACGCTTTGTCGCTACCGGCGTAGAAAATTTCTTCGGATCCAATCGGGATCCCGATTTTTCAAAGTAATCGTGGATTCTAGTTGGAAAATCTACGTAGGTTTCGGTTGGGAACGTAAGGTTTCAAATGTACGATTCTAAATGGGAAACATAAACAGCCCTTATATCTGATTATCCTCAACATTGCCTCAAAGTTTCCCTCAAAGCCTCAAAATTTCGCTGAAGGCCTCAAAGTTTTCCTAAAAATTTTCTCTGCTTTTCTTTTCACACTACTTGGATAAAATATATGACACGCTTTAAGTATTGACACTTTACAAGTGTACACACGCGCTACGAGCTCGCTCTATCAAGCATGGTAGCATGAAAAATGTAACCTCGTGTATTAATCTCTTATGTCAGTTCCTACTATCATGGTTTAACTCGATGATTAACTCAACGAAATTGACCAATTACATTGATCAGTTCAGCTAATTGGCCAATGCAATCGATCAATTCCGTTCAGTTAATGAAACCGTCGATTAGATTTAAGGTTCTTGGATACTCGCTGCAACTGTCTAGGAGCTTTAATGACTTCAGAAGCGAGAAAACATCCACCAAGAATTTTTGCGTTATACATTCGAATGAAAAGATATATATTCGCAAAATGACATTTGTGATCGATTCAGCACAATTGCAAAATCGGACAAATATTTTTCTTTTGGACAATCAATAAATAGTTGCAAAATTAATATTGACAAATTCGTGTAAAGAGAAATTAAAAGGGATAATTTCATGTCAAGTTAATTTTCTGACTATTTATTGATTGATCGAGTAAAAAAGAAGTGTTCGTTTAATTTTACAAGTGTACTGAATTGTAGTGTATTTTTTCGTTTCTGGCATCATTGAACAAGGACAGTCGTAATGAATATTCTGGAGCTTTAAACAATGATGGTAAAAATAGGCATTAATCTGATATTCGGTCAAATTATTATACGATCTGGTATTGATAGTCGCACGCAGCACGAAGCCATAGCGCGCGGCCAATCAGCGGAAGACAAGGCTTCATCTTATGACTGGGATAAGAATGGGATTCTTTATTGATATCGTAGTGAAATAACCTGTTTTGGAATAACTTTGGATATTCTAATCGAAATCTATGATGCATACGAGAAAATCTGAGAAAATTTCTATGCGGGTAATGATAACGATTACACGAATTAATTATTAAAACGGAACATATAATCTGTAATCATTTATTAATGTTTTCCGTAAGAATTAAGTTTTCGATTGTTGTGAGAGAAAAAGTTAAAAAGGCAATTTTCACACGATCAGGGACACTCGCGTGTTGCACGGGAGCCCGCGACTGTCCGCCCTGGGCGGCACGAGAGTTATTAACTTTTATCGCTTCTCTTCCGCTCCTTCCATGTAATAAGGCAGATCTATCTATCAATCGCGCCGCAGATCTATCTTCTAATCCGTCTAACCCAGCCGGCCGGCTAACTCGAGCATTGGCGTGCGTATTGTATTAGAACGCGCGTTCATTATACCTATCGTAATTTATTAGCACGATGCGGACGCGTCGTTGCATCGTGCGAGGATTGCGTGAATCTCTAATCGCGCAAATTTTATGTCGGCAATTTTATCTCGACGTTCTCGTTATCTCTAACACTCGCGTCAAATACTCCGACATCATTGAAGCCGACAAGACGAAGAGTTACTTTCCACAATTAAGCATCACATAATTTCTTTTCTTTTCAGAATGGATTCAGTTTGCAGTTTTTCTTTTGGGAATTACTTACATTTTCGGTATCTGGATCTTGTCGGCATCGTTCTGTCTGCCAAAATCGTGCCAAGGCCGCGACCTCGGTGGATTCGGATTCGGATTCGGATTCGTCGCACCTGCGGACACGAGGCCGCTTCGTTGCACCTGTGCCTGCGCGTGGCTCTGCTGCAGCTGTAGCTGTAGGGGTTGGTGGTGTATCACGGCGCCGCTCTCGAGGACCACCGCCGCTCCGGCTGTCGTCCCGCCGGGGCATAGTTCCGTGTAGTCAAACGATGACTGGAAAATAAGAAACATTCGTGAAATAACAATGTATAGATGAAATATTCACTTATTTCTATTATTTTATCAACGGTTAGTGATTTATTATATATTTTTCTCTCATGAATCGCTGACTTCTTATCGAAAAACTCAAAATCTGACTATAAATGGAGCAATTTGGTCAGCGACATTGTTTTCCGTGACCGAAGATCAACAAGAGCACTTTACTCTGATTAAAGTTATTTGACAAACATTTTCCGTCGGCCTGTGTAATTTTAACCGAAGTGCACTACGGTCGTTATATAATTCCGCCCGTGCTAGTTTTTCGCGCTCGACAAGTGCTCCAACGTATTTCCCGATCTCTAAAATTGTCTTCTCACGTCGTAAAACTCGGCGGTCACGAATCGATGGCAACAGCGTCGCCTTCGCGGTGGCTCGCGTAACTCGCTGAATTATCAACAGGTAACATTTCAACGAATTTCTTCGCCGCGGAGAAAGTTGCACGGGATGTAATGATAGTGCATGGCAATTTTGACTTTTGAGCAGCCGGGTAGGGGAACGCACGTATGTGTGCGTGTGTGCTTCGTGCCGTGAAGACCACAAGTGATAGTTGTTCTCTTTTCCGGTCGGCGGTTCGCCGATGGATAAAATGCGCTCGCGTGTACGCGTGGCCCCGCTCTCGGTCTCCCGCCGATTCAAATGCGCACTGATTACGGTGTAATTAGTATTTTAAAAGCTGGTAACGACGTAATTATTTACCGATACCGTTTCTCTCGCGAGCGCGCACACTCGTCCGATTATCACGATTCAATATCCGCACACATCCGCTTGTCCTAGTTTGCATATCAATGCATTTCATTACATTCTTTAATTTCTCGATCACGTCGCCCGATAAATTGCGAGCCGCGTGATTAAGAGGTTCGCCGGAACGATGGATGATTAACCGTGCGCAAACACGCAACTTCACGTGACTATTCCGATATGACTGTCCGCTCGCGTTTTTCTGTCGCCTCTCCATCAATGATACACGCATCGTAAACAAAGTTTAATCGCTCTTATCGGGGGAAGTCCGCCGGATAAAAAATATTTTCAACTTCTCTCTCTCTCTCTCTCTCTCTCTCTCTCTCTCTCTCTCTCTCCGCGCGCGCGGCGATAAAAGAAAAACACCAAAACTAATATAGGTATGGTAAACCGACATACTTATGTTTCTCGGTTGTAAAATACTAAGTTTTGCCAGACAGTACATGAACTTCGTCTTTGTACAGTAGTTGGAATGAAGTGGCAATTTCTGTTTGCAAGCACGTTCGATTGTATTATCGTGTGATTTTTCTTTATGCTGAAATTCTGAATTGAGCTATCTTCTTGTGAGAGTTAAAGTAACAAATCAGCGGTAAGTAATTTATTTGACAATGCTACTTTATAGTGTGAGTTTTGAGCTTTTTAAATCCGTTGGATTTTGTGACAATCTTTATCCTCTCTTACTGAACCACACAAGAAAAGTTAAGGTAAGATTTTTTTGTAAACCGAGAACTGAGTTTACTGGGCTTTCACTCGATATACCTGAACTTTACAGTGAAATATTATCTCACAGAATATAATTGATGTTACCCGACCGATTTTCTCCTTTTTTTTTTGTTTGTTTGTTTAAGATGGTCATAAAAAAATCAGGGGACTTCTTTCTAAGTAACAAAGGAGCAATACACATCGTAAAATATTTTAGAAATATGTAAAATTAAAGAGAGATAACTGTAATTTCAATCTTTTCATTTTATATTTTGAATAATTTCCCATAGGTGTCATAGGTATGTCACATTTAGTTTCTAGAAGCGTCAATCCTCAAACATCTTAGAAAATAGTTATTTGCAAAGAAATATTTAATAACTTTCACAAGACTATCAGATATTTTGGTGGAGAAGAGTTGCATCTATGCTGTATGCACGTAAAAATTGTATACATAGAAATTAAACATAAACTTTACTTTTATACCGCCAATAAAAGGAAAGACTTTAGAGCTTCAAAAACAAAATGGTGTGTCGCTTTTGGCACTTTTCCTTTATACATTTTCATCGGTATCCGCGGTCGCGCGCGACCGAGCGCGCTTCGAACATATGTGTTTGCCGCGCCAGCGAAAGAAGAAGAAGAAAACAGCGAAGAAGAAGAGAAGATAGGAGCGCGCTTTGTGGTCTCGTAAAATCAACCGCACAACCCGCACGCGCTTCCAACCGTAGCTGTTAATAAGCGGCTTGCCAAACGACCTATTCCCTCATATGTCTTCATGCGATTACGCGTCGCCTGCAGTTATTTTTCAATGCAACGCGGTTACCGCAGCTCGTTGCCTCAACTCTCCGCGTGTCATTCCGACGGAGAAGAAAAAAATATAATAAACGCGGCGACTTCTTTCCTGCATAGTTCTCGAGCCGCTGAATCCGCTGCGTCCTCGGAGCAAGGAGCTACTTCGTTCTTTTGAAATTCTCCGAATGCTCCGAGCTTTAAACGAACGAGATATAATGAGCACGGAAGTCGTGAAATCATCTTCTAATTAATCGCTGAAAGTAATATTAATAAAGTATTATTATTATTACTGTTATTATTTTTAAATTTCGGAAAAAAACATTTATTTCCCAATTTTTCCACAGATTTGTTGGATTTCTTACCTTCTTTACGGAAAAAAGTAAATGTGGCAAGTTTTAACCGAACACACGTGAATTTTTCTAAACGAATTTTCGTACTCCCGGGAAAGAGAAATCGAGGAAATCTTGGGAAATATGGAGAAAAACCGGGTTCTTTTTCCGTTTTTTACAACTACAATTATTATCACCGTTAACTTGGTGATATTTTCAAAACCGATCCTCTCCACGGGAACACTCGGATCGGCGGATTATCGAACTTTTTTTCTCATCCGTGACTTCAAGCACTTTTATAATTAATTCCGAGAGGCTTCGACGTCTTTACGATCCCGCGACGCGAGCGTTTGCGCGCGAGTCGCATGATTCGCCGGCGATTTATTTACTTATCGCGTTTCGTCGTCGCGCTACACGACCGCTCTAATTGAGACGTCACTCCGGTGCCGGCGATCGAGTCAACGTTTCGCGAGAAATCCGAGCCGCGGCGTATCGCCGACGCGAACGCGCAAAACTGTCGTGTACGTTGGATAAGTGAGAACGGAGAGGCGAGGGAGGGCAGGCGGATAAATATTTAATATCCAAACAAGCGTAAAACCCTTCAAAGCGAGTGTATCGGCTAAAAATCGGCAGGTCCGGTTAGAATATGATACGTGTTTCGCGCTAACGATACCGCAGGCATGCGTGGAGAGCAACGCGAAGCGTGCGCCTCGCAACGAGACTCGCTACTCACGCAACACGCGCCGAGCTTTACGAGTGGTTTAACGACACCGTTTTTCTTTCGTCGCTCACATTGCGCATTCGTAATTGGCGGTTAGAAACTACGTCGCGCCTAAACATCGCGGAAATGAAAAGCCCATTGGACGTGATAATCCGCATCGAACATTTCTTGAGATCTAATTGGGATCCAGTCCAATTTTTCAAAATAATGATGGATTATAGTTGGAAAATCTATGCAGATTCTGGTTATAAGTGTCACGTTTCAAGCATATCTGATTATAAGTGTTACGTTTCAGGCAGATTATTCTAAGTAGGAAACATAAATAGATCTTGTTTGTTGACCCCTAATGTTTCCCCAAAGATTTTTTCTGCTCTCCATTTTATATTACGATTGAACAAAATAGTATATGAATCGCATAAGCGTTTACACTTTACACAGAAAAAAGTGCTACAATTAGATAAACGTAAGTATAAGAAAAAAGTACTACAATTAGATAAACGTATTTTTCAACCTTTTAAATACCAAGTAATATTTGTATCAATTTAAATATATTTTAGTATAACTTGTGGTACATAATAAAATTACTTGAATGCAATAATACCATAATTTGTAAATGAATTACTGAATGTAAGCGTAAAATGGTCCTAAACGAAATTTAAGAGAATATTTATAATAATATTTCTTATGTAAAATACTTCTTTTCTGTTGAAGAAACCTAGTAGTTTTAAATTTCGATTTTCCTGCCCAGTAAATATTTTCCAATAATAAATTCTGATATTTGCAATATAATGAATTTAATATACATGTTGAAGTTGTTTTGAACATATACAAGTAAATGTCTATTTACATGACACGAAGAAAATATATTGCATACAGTCAATTATATTTCTACTTCTAGTAAATATTTGTTAAGGAGTATTGGAGTAACCATTCCACTTGGATGAAGTAATATATCACTTGAACGGTAGCTTGAACTTTTTCGCAGTGTATAAGTACACATACACGCACGTTATGCATGTTACGCGCACGTTATATTATAATGTATGATAAGATATATATATCTCTTTGACTTTGTTTCATTAGATCTTTGTTGGTCATACAGCCTATTTTGTAGATGCAATTAATTATATTTTATAATTTATTTTACTTTATAACTTAACAAAACACGATAATATCACAGTGTCAGTTATTGATGATCCCTACGGCATTCAACGCGTTAATTTCTTAATCTGATATTCAGTCAAACTGTCACTCGACTCTAATGATGACAGTCGCACGTGACACGAAACAAATCGCAGCGCACAGCCAATCAATATCACGGAAAAGAGACTTCGTCCCATATTTAGGATAAGAATGGAATTTCCAATTGGTATCGTAATGGAATCATCTATTTTGAGACAACTTTAAATATTTCAATTGAAATCTATCCCATATCTGGGGAAAATCATGAGAAATTTTTATTGCTATTATATTATTATTATTATACGGGAACGTGCAAAATTGGCGCCGGCGGAAAAATCTTTCCGCTTCACGTTAACCGTTCTGAATATTGACAGTTTAATTGCGCGCATAATATGCACGTACCGTAGATCGCAGGCAAGTGGATCAGCTTCCAGTAGCGCTTTTATACGCTCGATACGCCCGCTCGATAAGTTCCCGTGTGCGCTTCGGATTTT